GCTTTGCCCCTGCGCCACCATAGCCCCAGGAAGAGACTATTTNCCGAGTCAAGACCAAGACCAGCGCCCCACGCTACAGGACACGATAAAATGGTGAAATATGATCAAAATTGCTTCTCAAACTGATCTCAAAGATCCATATTCTCATAAAAACACCTAGATATTAAATACTTAATACATTTTACCAATATTAAAAGCAAAACAAACTTTGTTCTGCTTTGCTTCCATCTTTGTGCTACAATCCGTGGTGGTCTCGTGCCATCCCTAAGATAACACCCTGGGTGTTTGCCCATATTGCTCATGTCAGAAACCACCACTGTCTGCACCATTAAACATAGCAATTGAGGCAATACCCTGACGGTAAACAACCCTCAACTATGAACACTGACCAAGGAGCAAAAAGCAAGAAGTAACCAAGCACAAGGCGTTTTCACCCTCTCTTCCGCTACATGAAGCCAGGTAGTCTGACACCATGGCACACATTACAGCTGCCACTTTGAATGAAAACAATCATAGAGCAATGTGCATGCTCAGAGTGCTCTTTCATTCTTGTGTTTTATTTATTTGTTAATTAAAAAAATATCAATGTACATAATTACATAAAATAATGATAGCTACTGCAGTGTACGCAGAGCATTACAACAACAAAGAACGGCTCTCAGTGACACTCCAGTCCTATTTTCTAAGTAAAGAGCCGTTCAGAAGAACCGGACTGTTCCTGAATATCACATCATTATATTGCAGACTTTTGGACACAGCGTTGTCCCATATCTGGGACAAGTCAGTCAACACCTCCGCACAATAATTAAGTGCAGTGAGTGACTTTTTTTCCATCACAAATGCTTAGTGTCTCTATACAGCTAGCTTTGCTAACATCACGTTAACGGAGCTTACCTTTCTTTGAGCTACTTTTCTAAGTGACGAAAAAAGTTAGACGTTGTCTCCACCGTCTGTGAAAGCGAAGCACTGCTGAGTTAGTTGTGGCCATCGGATTTCTTATGATTTATGCAGCGATATTCTATTACTGACAATTAGACAGACATCTTCTGCCGCTCAGAGGAAACCACTGCGCATGTCTCAGAGCGCCACGTGCGAGTGAAAGATGGGGAGGGAAGGGAGGAGTAACAGAAACACGGTTATTGCTTGGATTTTAATCGGTGCGTTTAGCATCCTCTGAAAACAACGATGTTAACAAATAAACTGGACAGTATGCTGTACTTTTAGTGATATGTTCACAGTTGCGATATTGACTGATCTTGAAATAAAATGCAGAGTCCTCAGCGCCTGAGACCAAGACGAGACCGAGACCATCAAAAAATGGTCTCGAGACCAAGACCGATCTCGAGTACTACAACACTGGAACATACGCCTCAGTCTCCTATCCTTTTCAGCCTCTAACTGGTTTTCTTCCAGGATTGTCCTATATATATCTACAACAATATCTATATTGTTATAGATATAATGAGTATAGCCCCATCTATATTCAAATCAAGTCTGACCATCTTCCCAGTTACTAGGGCCACTTAGCTGCTTGTTTGATTACTTCTCTCTATTTGCCAAATACTTAGACATTACATAGACATGTTGGAGTTCATTCATTTTTGTCTCTGTGCTCCACCGGGTCCGTTTACCAGTTTCAGGACCCGACCAGAACCCGAGTGTAAATTACCTTCATAAATAATTAGATTTGGTTATATATAAAAGCAGGCTTTAATGCTTAAAAATGATCAAATGTGACAAGCCACGCATGTCATACAAATGGATCAGGTACAGTTACATTCACCGTCCAGCGCTGGGGCCACACTTGGCAAACCTTATGGATGGAACCAAGTGAGGCAAGGATTGTAGGCAAGTTTAGCTTTTTATTCTTTTCTGCAGTCTGTACCCTCCCTAAAGGGCAGTCTGATCAGTTTCAGTCTGTTTATGTATGACTGCCGGCAGACACACAAACATGGTGTAAGCTGCAGCATGTGCGTGTAAGCAGTTAAAAAAGGCTAAAAGAGAAAGGAAAAGAAAAGGAAAAAGGAAAAGATAGAACCTACAACAGACGGTGGTCTGTCTACATCTAATCCAAATTTATTAAATGTTTCTTCTTCGATTAATTACATTGATTTTAAGGCACTCAAAATTGATTAATTCATTAACGCAATTAATCGCTTTTTTTCATTAAAAAAAAAAAAAAAAAAAAGGTCAGAGCGGAACCTTGTGTTCGCGTTTCTAGTACGCCCGTGAATCTAACGGACCAATGACGCCAAAGTCGCCAAGTTAGGTCACTGGGAACTAATTTTCCTTCCAAAAAACAATTTGATGAAAAACTGGAAAAGACTCTTGTGGTTTCTAAATTATGAAAAAACTTTTTTTTACCTGTGAGCTACTCAAGCCGTAATGTCAATAATGTCAGCGCCCACCAACCACATTTCTAAACAAACTTTCAAAGAGGTTCAATCAGGGGTTCCTGAATCACTTGAAGTGTACATAGTAGTACATAGTAGCACTATAAAATGCTAAAGTTCGATTGAATTAAAATGTTGCATATTTTGTCAATAGTTTTCAATAAAAATATGATTGTGATTAATTACAGACGCTGGAATTAACTTGATTGAAAATTTTAATCCAGAACTATCTTAAAATGAGACATTGAGAAACTCCAATTAAAGACGAGGAAGGAGAAAGAGGTGGATCTGGTTGACATTTTTATTTCATGGTGGTAGGAACACAAGACAAAGGTCATAAAGTTAGTAATGTTCAGGTCATGCCACTCTTACTCGGTGCACTGCCCGTTGACGAGGTCTGCACAGTCAGACAGTAGTTTACAGAGGTCAGACATGTTGGATAATCCACATGAAGACATAAATAAGGAACAGAAAACAGATCCAAAAAACAGTAAATAGATTAAGAAAATTTTTTTGCAGAAACCCTCTGGGATCTTTTTTTATGTTTGGGGATTATTACTAATATTATCATTATGTATTACTCCATTTACATTATTGGAATGAGGCTAATACACTGGCTAAAAGGAAGGAAACGGTAAGATGGGGTGATGTCTTCATGGCCTGCTCACAGCTAAGGTGGCAGGTTATTTTTAAGGCAATTCAGTTTCCACCAAAACCACACAGGAGCAACCCATTTGGGTTCGATTCAAAGATCTAGAATGTTAGAAATAAAACCCAGTCTTGGGACACCAGAAAGGGATTTCCCAGAGCATGGACACACACAACACAACTCTAAAATTCAGGGTGATGATATCGCTCCCACGTCGAAGTATATCAATCCATGAGTGAATAGACAAGTCAGACATGGCTCCAGTGTATATTACTAAAACAGAAACCTCCACATATCACACTTTTGCTTAATTTACACTTTTAAAACCGCGGGGGCTGTAAAAAAAAACAAACAAAAAAAAAAAAAAAAAAAAAAAAAAACAAGTGGCCTGATGACTTCAAGGAGAAACAGAAGTGAGAAGATAAAAAAAGTAGAAGACCACAAACAGGCATGATTTTAGTCTCAGAATATTGCCAAGGTTCTCATATCAAAACAAGTGTCTTTAAGTCAGTCAGCTCAGTTTATTGCGTTCGGCTCCGTGTTGCAACAGTCCGTTGCCTTGCTATGCTAACGTGCAGAGTTCTGCGGGATTGTGGGTGTTCTTGTCCGTTTTTGCGGCTTTTATGGCTTCAGAACGTACCAGCTTCTCCTTCAACCCATCACCCCTCTTTCACTCAACAGCCGAAGCTAAAATCTGTTCCTCCAGGAATGTTCTCAGAATAAAAAAAAAAGAAATGAATTGAGTCCCAAGTACAGTTAGGGGAGTTTGTTTTCTTTTTTAATTTCTCTCCGTGTCTTTTAGTGACGACAGCTGATTATTTTACAGGATATTCCCAGGAGTTGTATCTCTCCCCTTGTTTCACCTCTCTGTCCTTCTTCTTCAGCCTTTGCTTTTAGCGCCTCCTTAAGGTCAGATCCGGTAACAACTCATTGAGTTCCTGCAAAAACTAACTGCTCCCAACAAACAAAACAAAACACCAAAGACCAAAAACAAACAAAAAATCACAACCTTAAAGCATAATTCCAATCCTGTACTTTCTGCAATCATAAGAAGTAAAATACACTTTTCTCAAATTAGATTTTTTTTTTTTTTGAAACAGTGTCAACAAAACAAAACAAAAAATCCAGATTCTAACCAACACTGCAGAAGTGCATGCATTTATAGTGGTCAACATTAGTTCATCTGCTGATTGTAGAAACAGAACGCACAACAGTACATGAAAAGCACAAGTCTCAGAAGAGAACCCATCTTACATATTCACAGTCTTAGGTATTATTTATATATAGAAGTCTATATTTATAACATTTATGGGTATCTATGAATCATGGTTAATGAAATAAGTCATTGTGGGACGCAGAGCTCTCTCCATCACGGCGGCACGGTTGTTAGTCATATTTCAAAAACTAAAGGCTCTGATGAGAGTCGACCAGAGAGCGGGTTTATCTTTTCTTTCTTTCTTTGTAGCTGTGAGATGGGAGTGGATGGAGTGGCTGGACAGTGCACTTAATCACTGTAGCAGCTCGGTTGATATTTCATTAGGAAAATATAGAGGGCTTAATAATACCAGGATAGAGTCTATGCATACAGCGCTGCGGCTCTGAACGGGGAATACACAAAGATGTAACGGCCATGCTTGGAGGGAATGTGGCTGGTAGAGATGGCACCAAGACAAGAAAGCAGCCAGAGATCAGAACCGCGTTCAAGTAATGAGAAATTAAAAACAAAACGTGTTGTTTTTAAGGTAACAACTAAATCAATACAATGAAAATAGCTTTTTTTCCACAAATATTTGTAAAAGGAAGAAAAAATAAAGTGTAGTGGAGATGCAGAAGAAAATGGCAAAAAAAGAATTCCAACACAAATTAAAAACATATTTCATTATTTTCCCATATAAAAAGCAATGAAAAGTATACAAAAATAGAAAATAATTACAGCAGGAGACATGGGCGTTATGGAGGGAGGGTTTCTTGTTTTGTTGTTTACTCCGGTTTCGCAGTGCTCGTTCTCTTCCTGGTTATTTGGCGGCGGAGCAGTGAAGTATTTTGGGGCTGTTCAAGGCGTCCTCCACCAGGTGGACGTCCACCCCGTCCACCACCACATCCTTGATGCAGCCAACGAAGCCGGTGCTGTAGGCCTTGGGCAGCCGGCGCGCCACGCCCAGCACCTCCAGGCCGCCTAAGAAGGAACACATGAACATGAACATGCAGACACACGCAGCAAAACACACCGACCAGAACACTGAGGAATCCTCAGAGTAAACATCAGAACCTAATGATGCGCTGGAATATGTCTTCTCTTAAGGTGGAATTAGGCAATAAATCAGTTTTTATCAATTAACCAAATTTTTGGTTCCAGTGGTGATTGGACTCATCATTCATACCAACCTTTGTGTTTAAGTTACAGATCAGGTCAGATTATCGAAACTGGGACAGAACCAACAGGAAAATAATTCCAAATACACCAAAACTGGTTCTGAAATGAATAATGGGTAACACTGAGCTCCTGGAATGACTCTAACATCAACTGCTTAGTGGACTGAAAAACAGATTAATGTGAGAAAACTAACCAATGGTGATGAGCTCCATGATTTCTGATTTCAACCATAATCCAACCGGAATGTAGAAGTGTGCTGAAAATGTGTGTGCTTAGTCTGGCTAAGGAATATTTATCTCAACAATATACATAACTTTAAATTAGAGTGACCAGTTCATGTTTTCTGGCTTTAACTTGTTACAGAGGTTATAGATAAGAGAAAGTGGAACCTCAGAGGTTATTTTTGTTTCTATTCAGAGCTTCAGACATCTGCAGTGTTTCATCACCGTGTCAATAGTAAACTGATCTGGTGTAAAACTCATGCAGCGATCCTGGCAGGATGTGGGATTGGATCTGTGAACAAATTAAAGCTGAAAATTCCCTGAAACATTGTGCCGCTCCAAACAGCCAGAGCGAGCGCTGGGTTTGGTTTCTCAGTGTTTGATGTTTCACACGAAGGCGCCGCTGACGGACATGACAGCCTGACAGCCTGTTTCTCAAATCAAAGCGAAAAAAACTGAATAGCAGCTACAGAAAACTAAGCTATGACAAAGGAGAAACACGATGAGATGAAAGGTGTTGACAGCACAAAACAATAAAGAGCTAATTTGCTCATTATTTTAAACTGACTGCTAATTTAAAAATAAGCTAATTGTCTAAACCTAAAGTATTTCCTTAAAGAAAAGACCATTTTAGGACACATTCTAGGAGATATATGTCTGTTTCTTCATTAGTGTGACACACATGGTATTTATGGACCACCTTTGACTTAAACATGTAAACTATAAGACACATACAGACCAGTTGAACCTGGACAGATATCTGCTAAACAATTAGTTTGTGATTTTTAAAACTTTTACTCTATTTGTGAAAAAATAAAACAAAAAGATATGAATCTTTTTGTCATGTCTTAGGAAGCATAATTACACATTCAGTAAATTGGTCTGTTTGTTAAGTTGCTTAGCGTTAGCTGCTAACTGCTAACAATGTTGGTATTAGCTTCCTTTCTGACTGTTGGCTTTTCTTATGACTTCATTACTTTTGTCCCTTTTCTTTTTCAGCTAATCTCAAACCTGCTGAAACAAAAATAAAGAATTACTAAGCCTTGAAGTGTTGAAAGACTTTATTTCCTAATTGCTGTGTGAGCTACTTTTATAAGTCAGCGAATTCAAAGTTGCCATTAGAGTCTTTCTAGCTAAATCAGCATGAAACATCTTTATTCAGCATTCCTGCAACGCTAAGCCTGCCTCTTAATGTTTTACCTGGCTGCCATTGCACCTCAGTTTGGTTTTTTAAAATCCCACCATCTCTCCGTCCTGTCTGGTTGGATCATGAGTTCATTTCCCTTCTCAGGTTCTTTACATCGCTGTCCTTTCCCCCATTAATCGGATTGGGAGCCTCAGAATCAGAGTCGACTAATTCCATGCAATTTACAGATGAATTAATGATGAACGGTGAAAAGGGATTTAGGATGAAGAAGCGCTGGCAATAGGAGGCTGTGTGAGGATTAGCTATTGGTGCTGCAGGGCTCCATCAGCACCTGTTCCACTGTGCTGCCTCCCATCTACCTGACTGCGCTCAGCATGAGGCCCGGCCGGAAAACACTGCCTCCATTTTCCAAAACTCACTCTGCATTTTAGGAAGAGCCAGACTTTATTTTGCCTCCACTTCCATATTTCCTCAGAGTGCTCTCTTAAAAAACATTCCTCAAAGCCAAATTGAACTCCAGGTAGATAACCGGCTGTTTGGTCATTTTGAATTCAGAAGAGGAAGAACTTTGGAGTTAGTCAGAAACACTTTCTCATTTCTCACCTCAGTGATGAAAAGAGCTTTTCTGCAAACACTGCAATCAGTTTTTTCTACTCTTCCTCCACAATGAGTTTATTACTCCTATTTGGCAGCGCTGCACAAGTAGTTAGAGGGAACCAACACACAGACGCACACACACACTCAGAACTACTTGGAGTTCTAAATGTTGAGACGTACCTAACCAGAGCGCTCCGTCTGTGTCCAGCTGCGTGGCTCGGAGAGGAGATGAGCCTGTCACCGGCGCCTCGTTGCCCACCTGCAGAGAGCCGTCTCGAAGCGCCCTGCAGACCAAAACAAAGATGGAGGCAGCTTCAGGCTGATGCATGCGTCACTCAGTGAGTGACTCAACTCTCCTTATCAGATAGATAGATAGATAGATAGATAGATAGATAGATAGATAGATAGATAGATAGATAGATAGATAGATAGATAGATAGATAGATAGATAGAAAGAAACTTCATTCATCCCTTTGAGATTTACCCTCAGGGAAATTGTAGTTCAGTCTCCCACACAGCACCAATACATCAAATCCTTAAACTTTTTTTTTTAACATTAGCATTTAGCCTGATTTTATAGTTCCTGTGTTTCTATTGTACTCCTGTTAGCCAGTGAGGAGTTGAAGAGTTTTACTGCATTAGGCACAAAGGAGTTCCTTAGTCTATCCGTCCTGCACTTTGGAAGAAGCAGTCTCCCACTGAACCTGCTTTCCTGGCCGCTGATGACAATGTGCAGAGGGTGGCTGGTGTTGTCCATAATAGCCTCGAGTTTCTTTAGGGTTCTCCTCTCTGCCACTGCTGCCAGAGAGTCAAGCCTTGTACCAACCCTCAGTGGTTGGCACAAGGCTTTAGGGTCTAACTTCCTAAAGATCAATCTGAAATTTATATACAAAAGATCACTATGAGGAAGGAAGAACACAAACACAGAAAGGAAGGAAGGACTGGAGTCTTATTTCAGACTGGGATCATCATGAAGTCAAAGCCCAGACGTTTCCCAGGCCAGTATGAAGTTTCCTGTTAATATGAAGCAGCAAATCTATCTCTATCAAATTACTTCCAGTAAAGTGAACATTCACATAAGAGCATTTTCCATGCAGCGTTCTAAATGAGCCTAGCAGCTAACAGATGCTGGAGGAGCTTCACTCATTTAGGTGCCTCCTTTCTGCACACACTCACCAAATCTGAAGACTGCAAAAATTAAAACTCACTAAAGAAAGTTCCAGCTGAGAGAGTCATTAAAAGTGAGGCACAAACAGAAATCTGTGCAGTTATGTGAGCTGCATGCTGCAAAATTTTGCTTCCCAACATTATCTCTAAATTATGCCATCTTTCAGCATCTGCTGTAAATAAGAGGAAAGCCTGGGATGAGATCCGTTTTAAAATGGATGCGAGCGGCCTTTTGAGGATCGATTGTTTTCACCTTAAATGACAAAAACCAATCTAATTATCCACCCAGAGGTCCGTTTGAGGCAAAGCTGGAAACAAATGTTCTCCTGCGATAAAGCAGAGAACATGCAGAAGGTGCTAAATGGCTCTTTTTCAAACCTTAATTTGTTTCTAATGAACAAATCAATTAACGTGACGTCACGGTGCAACAAAAAAGTGCTGCTCGCTTTTTGAGTTTTCCACTTGGAGGAAGATTATCTGTGGTTTGTACGAGTCAGAGTGGGCCTCCATGATTGTGTTGGCTGCCTGGATTAAACGTGTCTATATTAGATAAACTACAGAATAAAATAACAGAAAAAATAAACTACACAAGTGCTGCTAAAACATCAATATTGTGGTTTTAAAAGGACGAAATTCACAAAAGAATAGAAAGCAGAATATGGAAAGCAGAATTATTTTCACTGGCAACACATTTAATCATAATAGAATATTAAACAAAAAATAAATGTTTTTATTGTATTTCAGTGAATTGTCTGTAACTTATGTCCACATTTAAACTTATCTAACAGCCAATATATATAT